TATGAAAAACATCCTAAAGGAAGTTCTGTGGACTGAGAACCAACAAGAACAGACGACAAGTACAGAATGACGTACATGGCAGCATCAAACTGAACTCAGTCGACAAATGAAAGAGTCAAGAACAGAATAAAATGATAAGAACAGAGGATCTGGGAGCAACTGAAGATCTTAGAACCATCAAGGGTGAAGAGCACGAGCGGAATGTTGGACTCTATCCATAGAAGCATGGAGCTCTGGTCGCATAGTGGTTACGAATCGGTTTGCAAGCCTCAAGGTCAGCAGTTCAAAACTACCAGCGGTTCTGCGGGAGAAAGATGAGGCGGTCTGCTCCTGTAAAGATTTATAGCCTCGGAAACCCTGTGTAGGGTCGCGATGACTTGGAACCGACTCCACAGCACATAACAACAACATCCAGAGAAGCAGTGACACCAGAGATGGAGGCAGAGATGACATGGAGAGATAGCACAGATGTGGACTCTAGACTCATGGAGGAAGAAAGGCTGTGTGCTGGCAGCCAGGAGGCAGGCTTGCAGAATGTGCTCTTTGGTTGTTTAAATGATTCTGTAGTCCTGAGTGTATTTGTATACATGCAAAAACAAAAAACAGAGGGAATCAAAGCAAATGCTGTTGAATAATGATGCATGGAGGGGATTGTAATCGTTGCAATGAAATGAAATACCATAGGATGAGTGTAAAACCGATGTTCTCCCATGTAAACTATCATTCAATTCACAAGAAAAACTTTAAAAAAAAAAAAAGATTTACCGCCTCGGAAACCCTGTTCAGGGTTGCTATGGGTCAGAATCGACTCGACGGCATTCAACAACAACTACAACAAAGTAATTTTAACTAGCAACTGTTTTCTAATATTATAGGATAATTGTGTTTCTCCAGTTTTTATTTATAAAAATTCAAATCACAAGGTATTGTTTTCTTAATAGGCCATTGATTGAAGCTCACACTATTAATTTATTTTACAGCATATACTAAATGCAATCAATATTTTGCATTTATACCTGAAATGTTGCTTTTCTGTCCACAGCCTGCACCAGCATGGACTACTTTCAGAGTTGGCTTGTTTTGTGGAATATTCATTGTATTGAATGTTACTCTTGTGCTTGCCGGTAAGTACTTTAAATTTTGAATTAATTGTTCTTAGTTTATATGTCAATGTTGGGGAGCCCTGGTGGCATAGTGGGTTTACACATGGTGCTGTTAACCACAGAGTCGGTGATTTGAATTCACCAGCCACCCTGTGGGAGAGACAGAGGCTTTCTACTATCATAGAGATTTACAGCCTCTGAAACCCTGAGCATGCTTACCTGAACTAACCTGTTTTCCTATTCGCCTACATTCATTTTCTTCTGAACATTTATAATTCTGTGACAGTATATTCTTACTTGTTTTCTAGTAGTCCCACTGGAATGTAAGTTCCTAGATACATGGGCTTTAGTCTATCCTGTTTACTATTGTATCCCTAGCAACTACTGCCTAGGACATCATACAAGGGGGCTTCAAAAAGTTTGTGAGGAAAATTGCAATATTTTTTAATTCCATTTTTTTGTGTGTGTGTGAGCTCTCTGAAGCTCTCCCTCATAGAGACTCAGAAAAATTGGTGGAATTTTGAATAGATGGAAGAGGAGAGAGTTAAATGTGTTATATAAAATGTACACACATACGTAAAGACACAAATCCTAAAAGGTTCATGAAGTCTAAGGGCAAATAATCCTAATATACCTCAGAAATCTGTGTATATGTTAACTGAATAATAATTAAATTTATGAAGAAAACTGTATCACTATAAAAGATTAAATTATGCTCAATGAAATCTGTAAGAGAGCATAATTTAGAAATAGGTGTTAGTATGTAAATATCCATTATAATCTGTCATTATAGTATCTGAACAAAGAAGGTTTATATCATTGCCACACTTAGTAGAGTGAAGTTTTTCATTTCACAGGCTTTCGTCTTTTTCGTTTTTGTATTTCCAGTTCTTAACACACTGCCAGCACATAGCAGATGTTCAAGAAATAATCTTGATACATTTAACATTCCTCATAAACATGATTCTAAATTAAGACTGTCGATTGTGTATTATGAAATTGTAACTCAAGTTGTAATGACCTTAGAGAACATATGTGCATTTCATTTTTTATTTTTAGAGTTTTCTTTCCTACCAATTACTAAAATAAACTATTATTGTTTACTGTGAGGTCATTATTTGGTATTGGTAAAATTATTTATATTATAACTTACATGTTACTTTATATTATAAATGGTTATACTTAAAGGATCCCTGGTGATGTGCTTGTAATCGGCTGCTAACCAAAAGGTTGGTGGAGCACACCCTGGTACCCTGTCATGTAGAGTTGCTGTGAGTCAGAATCAGCTTGATGACAATGAGTTTTAGTTCGTCTTCTTTTTTTTTAAGTGTACTTATGTAGAATAAGTGGAAATACTTTATTTAAAAGCTAGATTTAGGATTATCAAACTGGCTATTGTGGAAAGAACATTGGCTTAGATTCAGAGGTCTGCCTGGGTTTTAGTCTTAGCTTCACTATTAGTTGTTATAGTTTTAAGAACATCACTTAAGTTCTGAAGTAGTTTTCTAATTTTTAAAACAAGCTTATACCTTAAATTTGATTACTAGGTTGTTTTAGGATTCACTATTCATTTAACAAGGACATTTCATGTTTCACAATATAGATAAGAAAATCCTTTCCCTATAAAACTTATTATGACAAAAAGATTAGGACAGATATTAAAAACAATAACAAAATATATAGTGTTAAGTGTTCTAAATTGTTAAATGAACAAGTGATTACTTTTAAATGAATGCATCAAAGAAGGCTTTATGGAAGAATCGTACTTAACACTGGACATTGATGAAATGAAAGGCATACCAAGAGAAGGAGACAGCTAAGAGATTTTGTTGGCTGATGGGAAAGTGTGTTGGAGGAGAAAGTGAGGGATTTTTGTTGTTGTTGTTGCTTTGTTTTAATTCAAGAGAAGCTGAAGTTTTCTTTAGTAAACATAGACAGTTTTAATGAGACTGATTTACCTTTGAATGTGTGTGGCTTATGTATTTAGTGTTGTGCATTATCCGCTCTCACTTCAGAGCCTTTCTTTGTTTGATCTTTGTGTGAGTGTGTTAGGGGGTGAGGGTGGGTAAATAGTTAAAGCCAGCTGTCTCTCCTTATTCATCTCCCAGCGGGTACTAGAAAGATAACAGTGTTTATTTAGAGTCAGAGAGAAACACTGCAGTAGTAATGCATGTACAAGCACGATTCTTGTCTTCAAACATTCACATTTAAAAATGTGCATAATTGTTTTCATTTCTCAAGGGGTCACAACTTGGTGTTTCATAATTTGTCTGAAAATCAAATATTCCTGCTATTTCATTTCATGAAAATGCTTGTACAACTTTAGGTTTAGGGTTTTTTGTTTGATTTTTTGATGGTGGCTGCTTCATTGTTTCTCTTACAGATTCTTAGTACCACCTTTATTTAGTTAATCACCTACAATACCAACACACCATGTTTCACTTATTGTTTTGACAGAGATCAGAAAGTTTGACCTTCACAGTGGATATGCGGATGTGAAATAGTAGGCACTTCTAGAGTAGTGGTAAAGGTACTTGCTGCAGTCCCTTTGAAAGATAACTTGGAAATGTTCATTAAAAATTTAAATATACAGCCTCTTTTAGTAAGCAATTTTATTGCTACAATGTATCTACAAATCAGCTTGGACATGAATACATATATAGAGCAAATGTGAAGAGAGGTATTTTGTTTACAGTTGTGATTTTTAAAAAAGGAGAGGGGGAGACAATAGGTGTTGGCAAGGTTGTCCTCATCTGTTGCTTGTGGAAATGTAAATAATGTAGTCACTATGGAAAACAATCTGGCAGTCCTTCAGAAAATTGAAGTATCATATGACCCAGAAATCCCAAACCAAGGTATATATGCAGAAGTAGTAAAGGCAGGAACACAAGCAGAAGCATGGACACCAGTACTCATTACATTACATTTCATAATACCCAAAAGTTGGAAACAACCTCAATGTCCATTAACAGGTGCCTGGAGAAACAAAGTGTGGTACACATATACGATGGGATATGAAACCGAACCAAATCCAAACCTATTGCCATGGAGTCCATTGTGACTCATAGCAACCCTGTATATGGTTTCTGAGGCTGTAAAATCTATACAGGAGTGGGAAGCCTCATCTTTCTCCTACGGTGAGACATGTGTTTGAACTGCTCACTTTGTGGTTGGCAGTTCGGTGCTTATCCTATAGCACCACCCAGGGCTCCTAATGGAATATTACTTGACCATAAAGAAATACACAAAGGATGCTGACATATTGTTGTGTGCTATTGAGTCAGTTCTAGCAACTTTATATAGGGTTTCCAAGAACAGCTGGTGAGTTTGAATTGCCAACATTGCATTTACCAGTCCATTGCCTATCCTACATTTATGCATACCAGAACATAGTGTTAAGCATTTGATATATGCTTTTCACAGTTAATTTTCTTAGCTAACTTAAAAAAATACACATGATCAACAGGGTGACTAAAACTTAGAAAAATTAAGTATTTTTCCCTAGTACAACTAGCAACCACTAATCTGTCAGTTTGTCATACTATGGTGGCTTGTGTGTCACTGTGATGCTGGAAACTATACCATCCGTATTTTAAAGATCAGCAGGGTCACCCCCAGTGGACAGGTGTCATTGGAGCTACCTGACCAAGACAGACTAGGATGAAAGAGAGGCAGACTGCTTTTGAAAGGTTAGCCTCTGAAAACCTTATGAATAACAGTGGAACGTTATCTGATAGAGTGCCAGAAGATGAGCCTCTCGGATTGAAAAGCACTCAAAATAAGACTGGGATAGATTCACCTTCTCATGGATGGAGTTAAACTTTTGGGACCATTTGCTGTTGTGTACCACTCAAAATGAGAAGAAACAGCTGCAAGCATCCATTAATAATCAGACAGTGGAACGTATGAAGTGTGAATCTAGGAAAATTGGAAGTCATCAAAAATGAAATGGAATGCCTAAAGATTGGTATCCTAGGCACTAGTGAGCTGAAATGGACTGGCACGGCCACTTTGAGTCAGACAAACATATGGTTTACTATGCCATGAATGGAGTCACATTTATCATCAAAAAGAGTATCTCAGCATCTGTCTTGAAGTATAATGCTGTCTTGTGATAGGATATTTCTATATGCATCCCAAGAAATACCAGTTAATACCATTATTATTCATATTTACATACCAACCATTTAAGCCAGTGATAATGAAATTGAAGAATTTTACTAACTTCTCAAGTCTGAATTTGATCAAACATGTTATCAAGATGCATTGATAATCACTGGTGATTGGAATATGCAAGTTAGAAACAAACAGGAAGGATCAGTAGTTGGAAAATAGGCTTTGGTGATAGAAATGATGCTGGAGATTCGCATAATAAAATTTTGCAGGACCAATGACTTACTCATTGAAAATACCTTTTCCCAACAACATAAAAGGCAAATAAACTGCACCAGATGGAATACACAGGAATTAAATTGACTATATCTGTGGAAAAAGATGATTGAGATGCTGAGTCAGTATCATCAGCCAAAACAAGGCCAGGTATCAACTATGGAACAGACCTTCAGTTGCTCATGTACAAGTTCAGGCTAAAACAAGTCCAAAAGATCCAAAATGAGACATTAAGTATATCTCACCTGAATGTAGAGACCATCTCAAGAACAGATTTGATTCATTAAAGACTAATGACCAATGATCTGAAAAGTTGTGGAATGAAATCAAGAGTATCATACATGAAGAATGCAAAACATCATTAAAAAGACAGGGAAGAAAAAAAAGATCAAAATGGTTGTGAAAATTCACTCTGAAATTTACTTTAGAGCGGCTAAAGAGAAGCTGAAGCAACTGGAAGAATTGAGAAAGTGAAAGCTAGAGAAAATTTCAGTGGGCAGCTCAAGAAGACAAAGTAAAGTATTATAATGAAATGTGCAAAGACCTGGAATTAGAATATCACAAGGGAAGAACACACTGCATTTTTCAAGCTGAAAAAAACTGAAGAAGGAAAAAGGCAAGCCTTGGGTTACAATTTAAAAGGGTTCTATGAGCAATATATTGAATGATGCAGGAAGCAGCAAAAGAAGATGGAAGGGGCACACAGAGTCACTGTAGCAACTGATGGGTATTAAAGGAAGAGATCAAAGCTGCACTTACGGCATTGGTGAAAAACAAGCCTTCAAGAATTGTTGGAATACAACTTGAAATGTTTCAACAAACTAATGCAAACAAATTGGAAGAGATCTATATCTGTGCCCATTCCAAAGAAAAGTAACCTAGTGGTATTTCCCCTAATTCAAAAGATGACATGGAACAGAGATATCATTACTGTCTTCAGATGGATATTGGCTGAAAGCAGAGAAGTTAGTTTCAACTGCACAGTCAGTGGTTCAATCTCACCAGCCACTCCTCAGAAACCCTATATAGGTTCGCTATGGGTCAGAACCAACTCGACAACTCTTAACAACAACAATTGTGTTCATGAGGAGCGTGTACATAGACCAAGCCTCCACCGTTAGAATAGAACATGGAGATGCTGAATGGTTTCGCATCAGCAAAGGAGTACAGGGTTGTATTCTGTTTTGCCATACTTACTCAGTCTGTATGCTGGGAAATCTGAGAAGCTGGATTATATGAGAAAGAGTGTGGCATCAAGATTGGAGGAAGATTGTTTGACAACTGGCGATACACAGATGACACAACCTTGCTTGCTAGAAGCAAAGAGGATTTAAAATGCTTACTGATGAAGATCAAAGACGACAGCCTTCAGTATGGATTGCTCCTCAATGTAAAGAAAACAAAAATCTTAACAACTAGACAAAAAAGTAACACCATGATAAATGGAGGAAAAAATTCAAGTTATCAAAGATACCATTTTACTTGGATCCACAGCCCATGCTCATGGAAACAGCAGTCAAGAAATCAAGGACATATGCTGCATGAGGTAAATTTGCTGTGAAGACCTCTTTAAAGTGTTAAGGAGCAAATATGTCACTTTGAGAACTAAGGTGAAAATACCATGGTATTTTCATATGTATGTGAAATCTGGACAGGAATAAGGAAGACCTGAAGAAGAATTGGATGCATTTGAATTCATGGTATTGGTGAGGAATATTGAAAGCACTATGGACTGCCAAAAGAACAAGTCTGTTTTGGAAATACTGCCAAATTGATCCTTAGAAGCAATGGCGATGAGACTTTGTCTTGTACTTTGTGCATGTTATTAGGAGGTACCAATCCTTGGAGAAGAGCATCATGCTTGGTAAAGTCAACAAAAAAGAGAAAGACCCCTGACAAGGTGGATTGACACATTACCAGCAACACTGAACTCAAATGTAACAATGATTGTGAGGAAGGCAGAGAACCCAGCAATGTTTCTTTCTGTTGTACATAAGGGTCACTGTAAGTCAGAACCGACTCAACGGCACCTAATAATAACAGTATAACTAGGATTTGAAATCTGATGTTTGCTATTTGACTCCAAAAGAAAGCCATTTTTTACTTTATTCTTTTTAAAGTATTAAATATGCTGTTTACTGTAGAAATTAAAGTCATATATAATTAAGTTCAAATGAGTGGTTGTTGTTGTTAAGTGCTGTTGAGTCGGTTCCGACCCATAGCAACCCTGTATAGGGTTTCCAAGGAGCAGCTGTGAGCTTGAACTGCCAACCTTGCAGTTCAAACAGCTTTGCAGTCTGGCACATTAACCCACAGCATCACACAAATGAGTGGTACTAACACTAAATACTATAGTTATTTGGAAAATGGAGACATCACTAAGGCAGTTTTAAGTGTTGACAAAAAATAATTGAGTCAGTAAACGTTTGAACAGCTAGGGTTTTTAAAAAGTAAGTAGAATTTGAATTGGTGATATAGAGTAAAATCAAGGCCATTTTAGGGACAGTTAAAAACATAAGCAAATGTGAAAAGGTAAACTTGTTAAACATATAATCAGATTCATCTAAAGCTGAAAATTAATATTTAGGGGAACTCTGAGATAAACTTGCGGAAAGTAAATTGGACAGGACATCAATCATTCAGAACTTGAATGTCGGGCATGGAAAGTTACAGATTAAGTAATACTGAATGTTTATATAGGCATGTGTGCAATAGAATGTAGTGATTACAAGTATAGACTTGGAAACAAAACTTTCTGCTTTCAAATCCTGCCTTTGCCCCTATACTAACTCAGTAATCTTGACTAGATTACTTTACCCTCTCTGTGTTTTAGTTTCCTCATCGGTGAAATGGAGATAACTTCTTAACTCACAGAACCATTGTAAAGATAAATGAATTAATGTACATAAAAATGCATAGAACCATGCTTAGCATTAGGAAACATGAATAATAATTATGACATAGTAATAGTTACAGGTGTTGACTATTTTCACTTATGACATTGAAATGATTTCATGTGTATAGTTTCTTTTAATTTTCACAACTCTGAAGTAGGTATTTATATAGTCTGCTAAATGATTATTATATCCTTCTTAAGCAAAAAAGTTGTGTCATGTCAGAAATCCCCAGTTGACAGCACTAATTTTAGGATTCTAAGACATTGTATTGTGACTCTTATCTAAGAAGCTAATGGAATAATGGAATGATTTGCAAGTCAAAGTTTATTCTCATAGAATTCTACAGAGTGATATGACAAAGGGAAAGAATATCAGGCTATTGAAATAATCTAGATTTAGATTTTGTTTATGCCAAGGTTATATCATTGAGACTAAATAGAAAAGATAATTAAAGAAGACATGATGATTTTTATAACTAACCAAAAAATTCCTATTCTTTCAGCTGTATTTAAACTTGAAACAGATAGAAGTGTGTGGCCCTTGATACGAATCTATCGGGGTGGCTTTCTTCTGATTGAATTCCTTTTTCTACTGGGCATCAACACATATGGTTGGCGACAGGCTGGAGTAAATCATGTGCTCATCTTTGAACTTAATCCAAGAAGCAATTTGTCCCATCAGCATCTCTTTGAGGTAATCAAAACAACACAAAGTTCCGCGAATATAGTTTACACTAGCTGTAAAGCTGGATTCATGGGAATTGGAATCTATTTTTTACTTGAAGAAAGTTATTGACTTAATGACAAAATGTTTTTCTTACCTTTGTTTTATTAAAGATACTGCTGAATAATGCTAAAAATAAAAATAGCCATGTTCTCTCTCTTTTTGTCTTCCCATTTCTTTACCAGATTGCTGGTTTCCTTGGGATACTGTGGTGCCTGAGCCTTCTGGCATGCTTCTTTGCTCCAGTTAGTGTCATCCCCACATATGTATATCCACTTGTCCTGTATGGATTTATGATTTTCTTTCTTATCAACCCTACCAAAACTTTCTACTACAAATCCCGGTTTTGGCTGCTTAAACTGCTAGTAAGTATAGAAATGTGTGTACTACTTTTAGAATGATATACTGGTCATTGGCATCCTCTGGAATAAAGCCAAATCTGCTGGGTTGCACAACATCAAAAGGCACCATTCATATTGTAGTCTATGTGAGTGGTGCCCAGCTTCAGAGGTAGAGAATACCATCTGATTGGTATCCCTTACTTGTCCATGACCCTGGAAGAGCACTCATTCATTTCTTCCTTCTATAATGGAGTATAAAATGGCCATATATTAAAATTATTTTGTACATTGTAATTACTTATTACTTCATTGTACAGATTATTTAACTATCAAGGTATAAGGAGCCCTGATGGCACAATGGGCTGCTCACCAAAAGTGGATGGTTAGAACCCTTCAGCTGTTCCATGAGAGAAAGATGTGTTGATCTGATTCTGTAAAGATTATATAGCTTTGGAATCCCTATGGGGAAGTTCTACTCTGTTCTATAGGGTTGCTGTCAGTGAGAATTAACTAGAAGGCAGAGTATTTCTAGTTTTTGTGTTTGTTTACAGTAATATGTAGAACTTTATCCGTTTTCTTTTCTTAAAAATGTGGTAAGAAGATTATTTTCCAATTAAATTTATGTTGACTTAGGTGTTGCTATAGGATAACAACTGGACTGCAAGGTCAGTCTGAACCACAAGGTTGATGGTTCAAACCCACCAGCCACTCCTCAGACACCCTATGCAGAGGCGTTATGAGTTGGAACCAACTCAACAACATTTAACAACAATAGCTATCACAGAAAATACAAGTGGATGACCTTAATAAATTTATTTTCTCATAGTCTCTTGTTGCTGTTAAGTGCCATCGGATCAGTTCTGATTCAGAGCGACCCTATATAGGGTTTCCAAGAAATGGCTGATGGGCTTGAACCTCCAACCTTGAAATTAGAAATCTAGCCTAAGGTCCTCCCTTCTCTGCTTACTTCTTTCTCTTGTAAGTGAAAAGGTGATATAGGCCACATCCCAGGGAAACTCTCCTTAGACTTTGTATGGCCTGATTAAGAGCATTGCATCCCACCCAATCCCCTTCAAATGAATTGGCTTGATCATCAGATAACATCATTAGGGATGGTTACATTGTTAAATAGCTGCCAAATTATATCATTACATAACTGACAAACCACTGAGAGTATGGCCCAGCCAACTCAATACTTATTTTGAGGGGTCACAATTTATTCCATAAAAATAGTATATGGAAATTTTGTTACATGCAAAATCTACTCTCCAAAAGCAGGTGGTATGGTGACTGTAGGATAAGCACTGAACTCAAAATCACAAGCTCAGCAGTTCTAGCCCACCAGCCGCTCCCCAGGAGGAAAATGAGGCTTTCTGCTCCCGTAAAGATTTACAGCTTGACAGCCCTTTACAACAACTACAAAAGCTGTAGAAATATCTTGTCTGATCATCAGCTTTAATTTGGGAAACTTACTTTGATTCTTGTTCATAATAATAAATTCCTTTTAATCTAATTTATCTATTTCTTAATGATCTTCAAATCATACAGTCGGAACATGAGGATCAAGGAATTTCCTGAAAAAATGGTAGCAATATTTTTTGTGAAAATACAAAGATAGTTCTATATACTCTTAAGGACTCCTGGACTGTGAACCACAAGGTCAGCAGTTTAAACCCACTAGCTGTTCCTCTAAAACTCTATACAGGGTCTTTGTGAGTTTGAACCAACTTGACAGCACTTATCAACAACGTACTCTCTTATATTAAACCATTTTCACTTTGGAAATCAATTGGGAATGATTTCATGTAATTATTTCTCAGATTATCAATTGTAAGTAACAATACAAAGAAGATTAGTGAGTATAGTGACCAATTTGTACACTAAAGTAAAAACCAAGCTGGCTACCATAAGTTGATTCTGACTTACGGTAACCCCAAGTGTGTCATAGTAGAATTCTGCACCTATTGTTTCCTGTCTCAGTTTATGTGAAACTTCTGTAAAGTTATATTTAAATGAGATTTTGAGATATTCAGAAAACTTGGTTGTTACTGTAAACACATGATTGCAGTAACAGGATAATATAGTTGTGTAATTTTATGCCAATTTAGGTTTTCGTAGTGCAGGCTGCTTTTTTTAAATAGCAAGCTGTGGTTCATGCATGATAAGCTACTCTTATTAAAAGAGTGATTGCCTGCTGAGTAGACATTTATCTATGCATTTTCTTTGTGTTTGTTAATAAATGAGAACATGTTGATGGGATAGATTGACGATGATACAAGGTGTAATAGCAAAAGTGGTATCGTGGTAGTCTGACCTCTAACTTCACAAGGGGAAAGGAAAGAACCACTGTTAACATCAGCCCGAGGCTTCTTCCTAAGAGGCAAAGATCAGACATGCCTCCTATCTTTTTTTTACCAGTTCTGACACAAGTCATACCTACCACAGCACTCTTTACTTTTCTGCTGGACTCAATAATTTGCAGCAGTGGCTACACAGAACTCACAAATTATACTCATGATTATAGGTTTTTATTATTGTACCTAATAAACCTCATTGAAGAGTATGTTACAATTTAGGATCAGGAGTAACTTGATACTGTTCTTCAATTGAGATGAGTCCTCAGGCAGGCCTCTCCCTTGGTCCTTAAATCCCCTGGGCTGCCCTTTGCACTGCTCCAGCAAGTGTAACAGAGCTGTTTAGATCCTCACTGGGTTGGCAAAGCCTATTGTACACATGAGAACCCACCATGCTGTCTTGCTGATCTGGTTCTGCTGCTGCTGTTTCTCTGCTGCACCATCTCCGTTGGTATAGCTCTCTCTCTCTCTCTCAGTCTCCTGAGCCTAGATGGTTCTCAGCACAGGTCCAAGTCTCATTGAAAAACCTTGCCTTTAAACTTATTTCTAGTGAATTTGCAAGAATATTTCTACCCCAGTTGTTTTCTTGATATCTTTTTTATATGAGAAACTGATGTGTATTATGTTATGGATCTTTTTTGTCAAATTAATACAGGTCAGTTACACCCATTAAGTTCTACATACTCTCCCTAGATCTGTATTTGCACAAAGCAAAAATCCAATTAAGAAATATAAACAGTACCTCAGACTGTATAAACACAAGTATCAACTTATTCTTACAGTGAGCTAGAGTCCATGGCTATATAATTTAGAAATTAGTTTATGCTGATCTTTGGTTGAGTATATAAATTTTATACATATGTGTCTACTACAAGACTAAAAGATAAAGGTGTTCTCATTTAATAACAAACACTATACCTAACTGTGTTCTGTACATTTTAGATTTATTAATTTAGGTAATCTTTTTTAATAACCCTGGGTCTACTATTAATCCTCATTTTACAAATAAGGAGACTTAGGTATGTACAAATCATTGACACTAATTGCATTCTTAAAATTCTGCCACCGTTCTCGCCTTCCTTTTCCAAATTATTCCTCCCCTGTTAACATAAACTTACTGATCCCTAAAGTTACTGTCTAATCTTTCAAGTTATTGTCAGTTTGATCCCATATGTTGTTGTTGTTGTTAATTGCTGTCAAGTTAGTTCCATGTAGATAATTCTTTAAAAGTACCGATACTCTCAAGGCAGACATTCTCTGTTAGTTAAACTGGTGTTTGATTTTAAAAACACTTCAAGGGATAGTGTTGGTGTAAGGTTATAATCTGTATTCTTACGCACTAACATTTAGTAGTTAAATCTGTTAGTCACTTTATCTTATATTTGTAATTTCAATCAAAACTAGCAGAAGAGTTATAGAAGAATTAAATATGTAAAGAATATTCACTAATCTTCAAGAAGTAGAAATTAATAGAGTTCATCTTGTTACTTACCCTTGTTAATTTGAAAAACATTTAGAAAAATGAAAGTTAGCATGTTCTTTATGATAACATTCAAGAGCAAAGATGTCAGTTTTTGCGGACTAGGGTGCGCCTGACCCAAGCCATGATATTTTCAATAACCTCTTATGTATTGAAAGTTGGATAGTAAATAATAAAAACATAGAAGAATTGATGCATTTGAGTTATGGTATTGGAGGAGAATATTAAAAGTGCCATAAACTGCCAGAAGAACAAACAAATCTGTGTTGGAAGATGTACAGCTAGAATGCTCCTTAGAAACCAGCATGGTTAGACTTGGTCTCTCTTACTTAGAACATGTTATCAGGAGGGACCAATCCCTGGAGAAGGACATCATGCTTAGTAAAATGGAAGGTCAGCAAAAAAGAGAAGGAACCCCCCAACAAGATGGATTAGGAGGGTGGCAGTAGCAGTGGGCTCAAGCATAACAGCAATTGTGGGGATATGGAGCAGGACTGGGAGTGTTTCATTGTGTTATGCATAGGATCACTATGAGTTGGAGACAACTCGACAGTACCTAACAATATCCAGAATAATCTCTTAACTTTCATAATACTATTAGCACTTTAATCAGAATCCCAAGGTAAAAGTGGAGATGTTGAAAGCCCTTAGTCAGAATAAGAAAGGAAAGGGGCAAGATGCGGGATTCTTACTCAAAAAGGAAATTTGGATCAATTTGATGTGAATTTGACTATGTGTAAATATCAGAAATTGTAAAGTATAATCTGTTTATTTTCCCTCTTGGGCCTTAACTCTGACTTGATCCCTTCTCTGTATTTCCAGGGTATTTTGTATATATCTTAGCACTTATTACATTGTGATATAATTATTTCTTTAGATATTTATTTCCCCTACTGGAATTGACGGCAGCAACAACTGGACTATGGGTCTTTCAGGTCACCAGTTGCCACTGGGTTAAATCTGACTCATAGTGAACCCCATGTGTGTCAGAGTAAAACAGCACCATAGGTGTTCAGTGACAGTTTTTTAAGAAATAGATTACCAGGCATTTCTTCAAAGGTGGGCTTAGACCCCCAACTTTTCAGTTAGCAGCTGAACATATTAATCATTTGTACCCCCAGGGTAGAGACTGTTGTTTTTATTTGTATCTATAGCTCTACAATACCTGACACAATAAATGCTTAATAAATTTTTGTAAATCCACAAATGACTATAATTGTATTCTTTTCTTCATTGATTATATTTTACCTGCATTTACTCATGCCTCATTTACTTTTTCCTTCTTCTCGTTTCTGTTGTTTTCCTTCTTCCCACTTTGTTTTTATTTTTGTTCCACTCCCTTCCTTTTCAAATCCCAGCTCTCTCCGTTGCTGTTTTTCTTTTTTAATTGATTCTCCTTCTCTTCTTATGGAACTTTTTTTGAATTACCTATAATATGAAGCTGGGTTTGGCAGATTTTGAGAGTAATGACAGATTATCCCATGTCAGTTGTTTACCTAGAAATTAACTACCAGTGTCACAGAAGTCCATGTGCAAAGATTGAGTTAGACTGCCTGATCCTTTAGTATTGTAGCCTTCATCCAGAACCAACAGAGCATGAAAGCCTTACACTGGAACTAGCACCCTGAATTTGGACTTCTAGCCTCCTAGAGTGTGAGAATAAATTTGTTTGTTAAAGCCATCCACTTGTATTTCTGTTATAGCAGCACTAGAGAACTTAGATAGGGTCTGAAAAAATAAAAATTAAAACTTCCTTCATGTCCTCTTCACCTAAGACTTTTCAAGGAAGTATACTTACATTAATGTCTAATCCTTCCCAATCTCCACAATGTGACTATTTCCCTTTGCAGTAGTAAACAGGCTTCCATAGATGAGTCAGGATGAGTTTATTGTGGGTCCTCTATAAAATGAAAATTTAAGTAATATCTAGGTTGTAGAATTATGATTAAGTGAGTTAGTACGTTTAAAAGCACTTAAAAGAATACACAGCATGGACTGGTGGTGGTGGTTGTATGCCGTGGAGTCGGTTCCAACTCATAGTGACCCTGTATAGGGTTTCCAAGGCTGTAAATTTTTACGGGAGCAGAAAGCCTTGTCTTTCTCCTGTGGAACAGCTGGTAGTTTCGAACTGCTGACCTTGAGATTAGCCTCCCGACTCGTAACCACTATGCTACCAGAGCTCCTTAACATGGACTAGTGGACAATAAATTTAACCTTTAACACCATTATTTTCATAACAGTGGTTGCTGTTAAGTGAAGTTGAGTAGATTCCCACTTGTGGCAACCCTATATAGGGTTTCCGAGGAGCAGCTGATGACTTTCAACCGCTGACCTGGTGTTTCAAAATGACCTTGTGGTCCAGTGTTTATCCCACAGTGCCACACCATGACTCTAAGGGTGGTGGATGGTATGTCATGGAGTTGGTTCTGATTTATAGCAACCCTGCATAGGGTTTCCAAGGCTGTAAATCTTTAAGAAAGCAGAAAAGCCTCATCTTTCTCCCGCAGAGCAGCTGGTAGTTTCAAACTGCTGACCTTGAGGTTAGCAGCCCAACTTGTAACCACTATGCTATTTAGAGGAGTGGTTGGAGGACTAATTTTTGTGGCCTAATTTGGGGATGAATATAATCATCATCATGGCATCACTGAACAAAAGTCTTTGAACAAGAGGATTAAGGTATGTTTTAGACTGTACCCCTCTTCCCTGCCCATCCTTGTGAGCAAAGAAGAGTTTTTTTGTTCAGCTATCAAAGATGGGAGAAAGTTCTAGAAATTACAGGATTTGGATCTCAAAGAAAAAGTCAACCTGGTTTCTAACCCTAGACCTCTCAGTGCTACTACCTTCTGCCACTTCCTCTGCTTTCAAGTTAAACTATGCCCACCTTTCTCCTTTCTGTTTTCTATTTCTGTGTCAACTCATTCCCTTTACTCTTAATTCTCAATCTAGCCACCACTGCCAAGTTTGTAAATAGTTCATTCTCTTCTGTTTATAAGCAGAACAATCATACAATCATGTTGCATGGTCTCAATTATAAGAATTTAATATTACTTGTGTTTCTGATTCTTTTTCTTTCTCCCAGTTTCGAGTGTTCACAGCCCCTTTCCATAAAGTAGGCTTTGCTGATTTCTGGCTGGCCGATCAGCTGAACAGCCTGTCAGTGATACTGATGGACCTGGAATATATGATTTGCTTCTACAGTTTTGAGCTTAAATGGGATGAACGTGAGGGCCTATTGCCAGATGATTTAAAAGGTGGGTAAGAATATTCACACTACTCAACTGCCAGTGTAAACTAAGAATTATGGAGAATGGTGACAGAAATTCAAGGTTAGGATGAAAACGCGTCCAATAATATTGTAAATTTAATTAAATGTATTTGGCACTCTTAGCATTTTTTTATCTGATATAATTTGGCTCTTAAATTATGTGTTATGATTTTATCAGCCATTTGCCAAGAAATTTACAACTTACACTTAAAGAATCCTTGAGCTAAAACTTAAAAAAAAAAGTTCTAGTACGTTGGTGGTTGTAATCACAAGTTGCTTTAGTGCCAATAATTTGCCATCACAGTATTGCTCTATAATATTACATAAGAGTGATTAAAAAATGCTGACTTTAGAGTTAGGCCAAGTGCTTTAGGGGAGTCTTTATAAATTGTTGTTTTCTATTTGGCACCTTGTTTTTCTTCTCTCTTTTTCCTACTTTTAGCTTTAATTCAGTAGTTCAGGTTATAAAGGAATTTTTCCATAATGTTAAAAAACTTACTTTGGACATATTATTTAATATCTAGTAACAAAAGTTAATTAAGCCAATGCTGGAATATTTTCATTGATTGCCAGTGGATTGTAGCTCTATTGTAGATTGGTTGATCCCAGTATTGTAGGTCATTCGCACTGTGATACATTTCTAACATTTAAAGACTAATTGATATGCCAACTCCATTTTTCTCATTTAAAAACACAAGTAGATTTCTTCACCAAAAAAAAAAAAAAATCATAAGCGTACAAAGAGCGTAGAGTAGATGTGTGATAGTAGTTTGGGGTTTGTGATGTTTCTAAATTTTTCAGGTGTTTCCAGTTACAGAGCCAACTTTTTTTGATTAGTAGCCATTAATCATATCGTTTTCCTACAGTTTTGTCATATACCCTAGAGAAACCTGAGAGGGCAGCTTTTCTCACTAGTACATGTTTGGTAAGGTGGAGGGTCAGAGAAAAAGAGGAAAACCCCCCAATGAGATGGATTGGCCAGGTGGCGGCATCAATGAACTCAAACGTGGTAACAGTAGTGAGCTTGGCCAAGGATCGGCACTGTTGCGGTCTGCTGAGCATAGGATCGCTATGAGTCGGTGCTGACTAGATGTCACCTAACAACAACAACCCTCGACATATCTTATCTCACTTGCTTATCTGCCACAAAGAAATCTGAAAATAGTTAGAAAGACTTAAGTAATTCTGAAACTGAGTTCCTGTCTTTCATTGACTTGTGAGTTTTGACACAGTATAGCTAAGTGATGTGAACAAAATTTTTGCTTTATTTTTATTGTATTTTTTTTTTCTTTGAAATCTTCACAGGGTCAGAAATTTGCCACAAATATTCATATGGTGTGCGGGCCGTTGTTCAATGCATTCCCGCCTGGCTTCGCTTCATCCAGTGCCTGCGCAGATACCGAGACACAAAAAGGGCCTTTCCTCATTTAGTTAATGCTGGCAAATATTCCACAACGTTCTTCACGGTGACGTTTGCAGCCCTTTACAACACCCACAAAGGTATTCTATGATCTTCAAGAGATTTTTCAAAACCGGTTTTCACATATGAATCTGTTTAACTTTGGTAAGGTTCCCACTTGTCATGCCTTTTTTTCCCATTGAATTTCCAGTTGCTTCAGTCAGTCATTTTAGTTTGTGCCTGCACACAATTTTTACTAGCAAGTGCAATCTTTACTAATAAGTACTATCGAAAAGGGGCACAGTCACTCAGAAAGGAAAGATTTGTGATGATGTTCAAAATCTGGAATTGTGTTTGATGGGCTTTCATTTTCTTTTTCAGACTTCCGTGTTCATTAATGAGGCTGGGAAATGCTAGGTGGGAAAGATAACCCTCTGGCAATCCTTGTATATTTTTAATAGCTTTCCTTCAAGTAGTAAGGATTGTTTCCAGCCCATTTAGCTGCAAATTGAGTTCTCCATCCCTCTGGTTTCTTATCGCCATGGCAACCTGTTATTACTTGAGACTGCTCTTCTGTTTGGGAGGAGAAAAAAGCTTTTAAGTTCTGTGCCACACACAGTCACTCGTTTGAATTCCTAACCTTTTTCTAAGAACTGTCAATCAGAACTGTATCTAGAATCCTTTTACTGAAATGAATTTTTCTTTGTCTATTTAACATCAACCCACACTTTAGAAACTACACTTCACCATCTGTAGGTGGTAAAGAAATATTACTAAATTTATCTTTAAATAGTTCGGTGACATTTTTTCAGTGAATCTTTTTTTCCCCTCTAAAAGAGAGTCTACTCCACAGGAAAAAGATGTGGCAGTCTGCTTCCATAAAGATTAACAACCTTAGAAAACCTGTGGGGCAGTTCTACTCTGTCCTGTAGGGTATGGTCACTATGAGTGGGAACTGACTCCATGGCACTTGGTTTTGGGGTGGTTATTTTAGGAACTTTTGCTAGAGCTATAAAACTGGTACTTATCTTAAGCATGTGTGAAGGTCATAAAAAATGAAGGCATTGTTTTAATAAGCCTTGGAGTTTGGTCCTGCATAACATTACTATAGACGACTTTCAGTTTTTGCAGTAGATTCAGCAGTTAAAGTAGTGTTGATAAATGTAACCAATAATTTTGCCACCATGTAGGCACTCCTGTTAAATGATATAATTTAACAAAGTGCCTCAGCAAAGAAAACACATACCCAGTGCTCTCATAATTTTACCTCTTGCTAAGGAATGCTGTCATTTAGTCCAGGCATGCATCAGGATTCAGAAATCTTATCACTAGAGAAGCTATAAATCAGGCCACTGATTTGAATAGGTACCCTGTGGCAGGTACCTTTAACTAAATCTCAAGAACCCTGTACTTTTCTCCAATCTTGGATAAAAATGAATACTGCTTTTTTTCTGTTGTTTTCTTTTTTGCCTGACTATATGATAAATGCTGTACTGCTAACCACAGATCAGCAGTTCAAACCTACCAAACACTCCACGGAAGCAAGATGAGGCTTTCTGCTTCCATGAAAATTTGCAGTCTTGAAAATCCTGTACAGAGTTACTATGAGTCAGAACTGAATTAATGGCAGTAGCTATTTGAAACATAGACTGTATCTTTATACTGATATCATTTAGTAAAAGACTGAAAATCTAATCCTCAAATCTGTCAACATTCCAAACCTAAGAGCCTGAAGCAAGGGAAGCAGTGGTTTGGATTGTAGTTTTTAATTCTATTACATTTTTAAATTGACAGAATTTTTCAGTTTTAGTTTAAAATCATCATAAAGGATGTAGTTTCCTGTGTATTTTAAATGTTGACATTAAAAACAACTGCTACATTTTTCTATTAAATATATCCAGATAATCTGACAATGTAGGATTAGCACCAGACTACTAACCAAAAAGTCGACAGTTTAAACCCACCAACTAATCCCTGGAAATGCTATACAGGCTCATATGAGTTGGAACCAACTCAGTGGCACTTAACAATAACAATCAAAATATAAAAGCAATTTATTATTTACCATGATTTATTGTTTTTTAAAATGAAGAAATTCTATAGTAGAAATCCTGTTTTCCTTTTCTAGTGAATTAATTGTTATTGTTGTTAAAGTGCCATCGAGTCAGTTTCAACTCATAGCAACCCCGTATAGGGTTTCCAAGGAGTGACTGGTGGGTATGAACCACCAACCTTGCGACTCAAACCCCCCCTAATGGTCGAGTGCTTATCCTACAGCACCATACCAGGACTCTTATTGAATTGATGTTTGTTGTTGTTGTTGTTGTTAAGTGCCGTCGAGTCGGTTCCGACCCATAACGACCCTGTACAGGGTTTCTGAGGGTGTAAATCCTTACGGGAGTAGAAAGCCTCATCTTTCTCCCGCGGAGCGGCTGGTAGTTTCGAACCGCTGATCTTAAGGTTCACAGCCCGATGCGTAACCACTACGCTACCAGAGCCCCTTACTTTTCGTCTGCTACATATATGTAAATTGAAATTAAAGTTTTGGTTTTTTTCTGTCACTGGAAGGCTCTAAGAGATTAATTTTTTCCTTTCTGGATTGTAATTATCATTGCCCTGATTATTATCTACAGTTGATCAAGTCAGTATTATAAATATTAGTAATTATACATTTTCAGTATGTATACTAATTTATAAGGAGCTATGGTAGCATAATGATTATGAATCGGGCTGCGAACCGCAAGGTCAGCAGTTTGAAACTACCAGCTGTTCCACAGGAGAAAGGCAAGGCTTTCTGCTCCCGTAAAGATTTACAGCCTCAGAAACCCTGTACAGGGTCGCTATGAGTCAGAACTGACTCCATGGCACATAACAACAACAACAACAACATACTAATTTATAACAACTTTATATTACTTATTGATGTTACTTTTTTAGTTCTTGCATAAGAAAATTTTGAGAAGTTTTGTTAAAGATGTACAAATGAGAATTGGAGGTATTTTTTTGGTACAATGTATTGTTTTTTGAACAACTTCTGAGTTATGTGTTTTCAAATTGAGAAATAAAAAAGCAGATCTAGGCTTTAATAGGAGAGACTTTATTCAAAAAGAAAACAGAGGGGATATGGAAAAGGCACTATTGCAATAGTGGGACAAAAAACAGTAGGCTGAACACTCAAATTCCATAGTCTAAACGTGCCTCAAAGAATTTAGGAATAGTGATTTTCTGTGTAGAGACAGAGAATAAACAAAGCAAGAAAAAAACTAGGTATGACGTTGAGAGAAGACTTCTTAGCGTGACATCTAAACTATATCCTACTGTCTATATTAAGCTAGACAATATCATAAATTGCACCGAGGGGTGCAAATGGTTAACACACTCAGCTGCTAACTGAAATGCTTAAGGTTTGAGTTCATCCAGAGGCACTTTGGAAGAAAGGCCTAATGATCTACTTCTGTAAACTCAGCCACCAATAACTCTATGAAGCAGAGTTCTTCTTTGACATACCTGGATTCATAATGAGTTAAAGAGGATTCCAGTTATCCCACTACCTTGCCAAAGGCCATATAATTTGTATGTAGTAAAAGTGACACTACTTACCAATTCTGTTCTTAGCATAGGGCTCTTTCCAGTAAACCAGATCTTTAAAGTGAAATGAATAGTATGTATTCTTTTTAATTCACAGAATTGTAAGGTCTAAATGAGGTGCTATTATTGTTAAGTGCCGTTGAGTTGGAAAGTGCCATTGGAAAACTTATATAGGGTTTCCAAGGAGCAGTTGGTGGTTTTGAACAATCAACCATGTGGTTAGTAGTCCAGTGCTTTATCTTAGAATCAAACAAGGTCATGCAGATTAAATCACCTTTTAAACTAATGCATGGCATAAAGGAAAACTGTGACTAAATAAAATGTCATTCCTTTTGCTCCTTAGAGCTGGTATATATATGTATGAGTTCCTTTATGGGAGGTCTTTCTAAACCAAACTTAAAATCCCCTTGGCGGGAGGTTGCAATGGGCAATTATCTGTTAAGAATGTGGTTGAATTTTTGCCAGAGTAACACAACAATTTGCTCATTGAACATGATTCATATTCCCGCAGTCAAATTTTGAAACCAAAAAAGGATTTTTTCAGAGAGTTATGTATCTTAATCATATTCCTAAAATTTAAAGATCTTTTTAGAGTGCTATGTGTGAAATATTTATACAACTAAGATATTTTGCCAAAAAGAAGAAAAACTTGGAGGGAAAGTCTGAAATGACATCTCAGAGGGACTATTGACAGAAAATTTGAGTGATGATCAGAAGTAGAATTTTATTTCCTTTGTTTGCTTGGAAAATACTCCAAAGGAAAACCATCAGAAAATGTAGACTTTAAAGGTAATCATACACACAACCCCAAAAACAGATTCAGTGCAGTTCATCAGATAGATATTTTTCTATTAATATATGTGTGCTATGGTGAAGAAGGAGTCCTGGTGTGGTGCTGTGGGTTAATGTGTCAGACTGCAAAGTTGTTTGAACTGCAAGGTTGATGGTTCAAGCTCACCAGCTGCTCCTTGGAAACCCTATACAGGGTCACTGTGGGTCGGAATTGACTCAACGGCACTTAACAATGGTGAAGAATGGAATCCTGGTATGGCACTGTAGGATAAGCACAGGACTGTTAACTGCAAGGTCGGTAGTTCAAACCCACCGCCATCCATTCCTCAGAAACCCTTACAGAGTCACTTTGAGTCAGAACTGACTCAACAGCACTTAACATCAACAGGAACAAATAGCAACGAATAAATTTTATGAGGGAAAAGAAAGATATGATGAACCTTGTTCAGGTTCTGCAGCCTTTGTTTTCGCAAAGAACTAGCCTGTAAGAGTTGCCATAGTAATAGCATTATTGAGAACATTTTCAGTATTGTTTGAAGGTTGTATCTCGGGTTATGTTACATGGTGTATAAGAATGGAGGCACAAGAGTTAGCTCTGCATTAAGAATTTTTTTTCTTTTAGACTGTGAGGGGGAGGGGCTAAGGCAGTATATTTTAAGCAGATTGTTGTTGTGAAGTGCCTTCGAGTCGATTCTGACCCATAGCGACCCTGTATAGGGTT